CTAGTTGTGGAGGACGTTGCTTCACTGGCCCAAGTTGGCACCATCATTGCGCTCTTCCCGGGTGAGGCAGATCAGTCGCCAGCTTCTGGACAGCCGCTCACTGCGGCTGCTGGCTACATACGGTAGCCATGGCAACCCACTGCCACAGGGCCTGCAGCCTACGCCGTCACCTCACATCAGCTCAGCTCCAGGTTGAGCTGTTGTTCAGCATCTTAGCTGTGGAGGGCAGTGTCACTGGCCCTCATATGTGGGATCCGAACCGGGGTCTTCTGGCGTCCCAAGGCAGTTCTTAACCATTGTGCCACTCGGCCGGCCCCACTCAGCATATTTTTAAGAATCACCCATATTGTTGCATATATCCGTAGTTTGTTCCTTTTTATTGCTAAGTAGTATTCTATTCATAGGAGGATATGAATGCTTAATTTTTAAAAGTATGTTCTTTCTTTTATATAGGAAGAAATTCTACAGTTAATTTTTTTAAATCAAATTATTGGAAAATCAAATACTATTGGGTAAAGTAGTGTCCTCTTTTACAACAAGCAAACAAATGTCATTTAAAAGTATTTGAATCTCTCTAAAATGTACAAATGTACCCCATGAAAAAACAGGCATTATGGTTAGACTGAGGAAAAGGACTTTTCTAGTGTATGTTGTAAGATTAAGAACAAAAAACAAATTCTCACGCACAGTGTCAGAAGAAATCAAATTTGGAAAATCACAAAGAACCAACGAAATAATATTTGATTCTTATTAACAGTAAGGTGGGCAAAAGAGCACTACACAAAAGTCAGTGGTTTTTTTTCTGCTTCTCACTCATAACAAATAATAAAATAGAGGACCACCTACCACCATAGCAATCAAAAAAATTAAAATATCTTTTAATAAATATGGTGAGATATAAGCAAAACCTCCATAAATCATCACTGAGAGATAGAAAAAGATTTAAACAAATGAAAAAAGAGAAAGTTTCTAGAAGGAATACTAAACACTCTACCATCCATTCTTATTCAAGTTAAATTACAGGGCCGGCTGAGTGGCTCAGTTGGTTATGAGCTTGCTCAAGAGTGAGAGCTCTGAGCAACAGGGTCGCTGGTTCCATTCCCACATAGGCCAATGAGCTCCGCCAGAGCTGAGCTCCCGCTGAGCCGCCAACAGGGGGCAGGATGGCTCAGCTGGTGAGAGCACATGCTCCTAACAACAAGGTTGCATGTTTGAGATGTGTGCTACGCCCTACCCGCAACTAAAGACTGTACGCAACTAAAGACTGAACTTGGCACCTTGAGCTGAGCTGCTGCCTGGATGGCTCAGTGGATACAGTGTGCGCTCTTAACAACAAGGCTGCCGGTTCGACTGCCGCATGGGATGGTGGCTATGCTCATCTGCAACTAACTGAACACAGTACCTTGAGCTGAGCAGCGGGACTGGACTTGGAGCTGAGCTAGCTGCGCCCTCCACAACTAAGATTGAAAGACAACAATTTGTCTGTTCCCCTTCCCCAATTCCCCAATAAAATCTTAAAAAAAAAAAAAGTTAAATTACAGATTCAACTCAATTCTAGTAAAAAATCCAACAAGAATCTTTGGTGTGGATAAAATAACTCCAAAATTTAATTCAAAAAATAAAACAAGTGATATATTAAAAAGAGTATTTTTTAAATAGGAGATTTCTGGCCCCTCCAGTCAAGTAATAGAATGTGTAATAGTTCTTACAGTACAATTTCTAAAGCAATTCTCAATTCTTACTCAATTACTATTTGACACTTGTCATGAAAAAATACCAGCTAGAAAACTCAAAGAAGGAGACACACAAAAGCACATACTACTCACAACACACAAAAACAGCTAACTAAAATTACAGGCATTGGGGGCTGGCCGAGTGGCGCGTTGGTTAAGAGCTGGCTTGCTATGCCAGAGGGCCCTGATTCGGATCCCACATATGAGGGCCAGTGACACTGCCCTCTACAGCTAAGATGCTGAACAACAGCTCAACCTGGAGCTGGGCTGCTCGGAGTTGCCAGTGATGGCATAGGCTGCAGCCCCTGATGCAGTGGGTTGCCATGGGCTACCGTGTGTAGCCAGCAGCCAGCGTGAGCGGCCAGCAGCAGCTGTGAGCAGCCCGTCCACGACTGATCTGTCTCACCCAGGAAGAGCGCAATGATGGTGCCAACTTGGGCCAGTGAAGCAACGTCCTCCACAACTAGACTGAAGAACAAAAGGACAGCAACTTGTCTGTTCCCATCCCCCAATTTCCCAATCAAAAAAAAAATCTTAAAAAAAGATAATATTTTTGTCCTTAAAAAAAAAAAATTACAGGCATTGGGTCAAAAAGAGAGAACAGAGAAATAATAACTCAAGTGGTATAGGATATCCTGCTTTCTATTCCATTTCCTGGCAAGTGGCCTGGAGGGGAGAGGGGACTCTGATATGCCCTTCTATACACATGGAAGTCTCCCCAGCCTCATTCATCTCCTAGTGTGATTATCTTGCTGTGCTAAGTCTGACCTAGGAGTAACCTGGACTCTACTTGATGTCTGTTTCCGGTGCTGACTTTAAAAGACAGCCACAACCAGCAACAACCAGATGTATCTACTCCTCTTCACATACTTTTTTTCCAAAAGTTGAGTGTGCACATTGCCCAAACCCAAGGGCTCAGCCAGCCTCCTTGCTCACTGACCTTCTCAGACATGGCGTCCATGTAGTCCTGTCGCTGGTACTCTCTCCGGCGCAGATGTCTGTATACGTGGAACTCTCCGCTGCCAGCCCCAGCACTTGAACCTATAACCAGGACAGTTCAGAGTTCTTGATGAACTGCAATTATCAATATAGGCTACCCTTAATCAAAAGTGACCGAAGAAAGAAACTGAAGTAATGGAAGGGACCATGCCTATCTTATTCCCCACTGTACCCCAGGATCTAGCATATTGTAGGCATCATTACATATTTGTTGCATGAATGTTGAATGTGAAGTCACTAAAAATTCCACTCTAATGCAGTATTAAGGAATAGAGTATAGTTCCTAGAAAAGGGCCTATGATCCTTTCCTCCCCGCCATTTAACATGCTCAAGTTTTACTGAGCTGAAAAGATGTCCATGATGTATTAAGCGAAAAAAGTTGGTTACCAAATAGTATGTGTAGAACAACCATATTTTTGTAAAAACATTTTTTCTTACACGACTAGTTTTGACTATAAAGAGTTTTGGAAGGCTATATCACAATGTTACAATCTGAATGATGAAATTACAGGTGGTCCAAACTCTTTTATACCTCTATTATTTATTTTTCTTTATAATTAGTATATGTTAATTTACAACCCAACAAAATAATAAAACCATCTGCATTTAGAAACAAAACACTACGAGGCATTATTAAAAATGATACGTAAGAAAATTCTCTGATGTCAAACCATAAGCAACAATACCTCTTTGTTGTGAGAACAAATTACTGGACCGGTGAACATTTTTTTCACTACTCAAGATCTAATTAACACATACTAACTTCAGGGTTTTTGTATCTACACTTAAAAAATTATATTTACACACACACACACACACTCCCAAAAGACATTACCCATTACATCTCGGACAAATTCTGGGGGAGGTCGAGGTGCCCATTCATTCATTTTTTCTGGAATTGGAACTCCTTTGTCCTGAAACAGTTAAACAGGAAAGCACTTGTAAGTATAAACCTGCTGACAAAGTCACATCTTTTATAACCAAAGAATATTAAGTGGACTAGTGAAGAAAGGCTGCTTGGCTCCTTGGACTCGCAGCTGATTTTTATCTTCTTTTCTCTGTCTTAGCTTTACTTCATCCTGTATATTTTGGGGTCTATCACAGCCCACAGCTTTGCCAAGTCTACACTTAACTTTCCAGAGAAGAAATGGAAACCTCCAGCTTTAATCTTACTACACGAGGAGTCAACGCTTTCTAGTCAAAGGTATAACAGACCCTCTCATCCAATTGTTTTTATGACCGAGGGGTGCAAGGCCTGGACGGGGGGAGTGACTTGCCTCAATGGCTCTCTCACAATAAAGAAAAAAATAACCCTCGTGCTAACCCACGGATTCTATCTTTCCAGTCTAACGCTTCTGTTCACAAAGTTAAACCGGAAAAGGCCTTAGAGCACGGAAGTCACCCCACAACGCCCTCATTCTGGCTGGGGTCTAACATAGGGCAGAAGAAAGCTCACTATCTCCGGGGCAGCCTACTCCTTCCTAAGGTCTAACGCTGGGATTCGGGGACTGAGTTCCTGAGTTTGGAGGCGGAGGAGGTGGGTCCACGGGCCCCCAGAGGCGCCGGAACGTGAAGAGGTGGTACTCGGGGTGGCTGCGGAGCCCGCGCCTCGTCTCACCGGGTTCTTCATGAGCCGCTCTAGCTTGAGCTTCTGTTCCTCTGCCGCACTCCTGGGGATGACGAGCGCTTGTGGCTCTTTCTTGGGCCTCGGGGGTCGCACCGAGGAGGCGGCTGAACTCGCCATGACAGCGTTCTTGATTTCCTGGCGAGCGGCGGCGGCGGCGCGCACGGATGACTCCAGAGCCGCGCGCCAACGGCGCAAGCGCAGCCTCCCACCTGGGCGGGGCTGGGGCGGAGTCGCAGGCTGCAAGCAGGCTGCTTGAATATTCATGAGGCCGAGGCCGGGTGGGTTATTTTGATAAAAGCTGGTTGATTTCATTTCCTGTTTCTGGGCAAATCCGGGCAGCGGAACGCCCAGGTTCCTGGGCGAGAGGTGGCCCTGCATTCCCCACGGTGCGTCCCCAGCCGACCTCCCCAAGTCCGATGCGCGAAGTGGGTCCGCCTGCTGCCCTGCTAATGGCTCTCAACCTCCTCTCGTGGTCTGGGCCTTTGTCCTGGCGGTTCCTTGGGCCTAGACCACTCCCCCTCCCATTTCCGACTGTTTATTTAAGAGATGAAATAGTCACTGTGAGCTCCCTGAGGACTGGGGCCATATCTCTTTTGTCCACTTCGAAGTGCTCTGCACCTGGCACCTAGCAAATATACCTCAGCCGAGTGAATGAGCTTTTATTGAGCTGGCACTCAGCTAGGCCTTGGTGTTCTCCTGTTGGACATAAACAATTTCTCAGAACACCACAACATCACACGAGGCCATTTTGTGACCGTGATGGAGCAAGACATAAACAAGACTGCTCTGTAATCATGTCTGAACTCAGATGAAAACAAGAATATCTTTGAAACCATGAAAAGACTAAACATTTCCCCCATTCTGATTAATATGAGTAACTGCTGCTGCTTTATAGCATTGGCCTCCATTCATTCCTGCTACTTAAAATATTTAAGACAGCCAGTCATAGAATTGTCTCTACTTCTGACAGCATCTAATCCAGAATAGGAGCCCACTTATTTGAACCCTCCCCCAGATCACTTAACCCACGCCCAAATCCTATAATAATTCCTCTTTAACATCCTCTTGCTGAAGTACCTAAGTGCAGTCTTCCTTCTAGAAAGAGGTAATAAACCCAACTTGTTCAGATATGCTCAGATATGCTCTTGGTGGTCTTCACAATGGTTTCTTGTTTATCGTTTGTTGCTGCTAAAGAATGGGCGTTCTGTCTTGTATATGGCCGTATTCCCAGTGTCTGGGGCAAGGCCTGGCTCATAGCAAGGCACTCAAACTTTTGCTGGATGACCATGGGATCTTGGGGGCCTGGCACCTTAGATACTATGGCTACTGCTGCCTGCTCATCCTGCTCAGCCCTGGACAGCTCTCCCACTGAGTGTCCGGGGTGGGACAAGTGACCCCTGTGACGGAGTGCTGTGTTAGCGCTCTCAGGCCATTCCTGGCCACCTAATGGTGGTTTTCCAGGAGCCAAGAGTAATGAATTAGGGGAAGTCCTTGACTGGCCCAGGTCTGTCACTAGAACCTAGGGAGGGCTTGGCCTGAGTGTGGTCAGGGACACATGAACCTACATTACACACTCCAATCACCCAGGTGCCTCACTTTTCCCCAAACACGCCACACAAAAAAGACTTTATCTGGAGGGTCATTTCCTCCCTGGAGAACTCCCATATACCCTTCTTAGCTTGGCTTACATGCTGGTAGGTCCATGAAGCCTTCTATGACTGCCTCTAGCACCCCCTTCCAGGCAGAAAGTTGCTTCCTTCTTGGTGCTCCCTGTTCTCTGGGTCCTGCTGGCTGAAATTTGGTAGTTACCACAGCATGTTCTCACCACCTGCCTGAAGGCTGAACCAGCATCTCAACATCTAATTCTGGCTTAAAGTAGAGTGGTGCTTCCAGAATGCTTACTGAACAGAGGAATGAGGGAAAGAGGGAGTCAACAGCTGCTTGAAAAAAATAATGAATGAATGTGTAAATGAGACGACCAACTGATGGATGAATGAATAAGGAAGTTAAGTGAGTGAAGATAGGAGAAAAAAAATGAATGACCATTCAATAAATAAATGTATAACCATGAATGAATGAATGAATGAATAAATGAATGAACAAACGAACAAATGAACACATGAGACAGGATTAGCAGAGAATTACACAGCCAGGAGGACAGTCGTCTCCAGGCACCCCCAGCTCAGGGTCTGGCACAGAACTGGTGCTTGGTAGATAGCTGCTGGATCGAAGTGAAGTGAATGAATGAAGTGAATAAGTACTCAAAGGTGGGGGAGAGTTAAGGCATGTGGGTGTGAAGAAGCTGGTAATAACAACTTCAGTCTAAGCCTAGTCTAAGTGTGTTGATGTGTTTGTCATCCTGATTATTAGATAAGGAACTGAGGTCCAGAGGGCTCAGGGTCACACAGACTCAAACTTAGCAGCCTGGTCCTGGGTCTGTGAGGCCCTGAGTGATCACGTGACTTAATGATGGCTGGACCAAGGCCCTCAGCAGACCTGGTGGGGGCCGTCCATGTGGCATCCTTCTAGGGCTGAGGCCAGATTTGAGGTCCTGCTCCTTGTAAGGAAAAGATGCCTTCTCAGCCTGGCAGCCCCACAAGAGTCAACTCAGACCTGGAGTGCCAACCCCTCTGCCACCAGAGGGCAGCAAAACTCCACCCAGGCCCACATGCTGGCCTGTGTCCCTGAAGCCCAGAACTGGGCACCTAGGGAATCAGGTCTACTGCCCTGGAAGACATCAGTGTTTTGGAGTCTGACAGGCCTGTTGCCAATGTTTGGCTCCACCTATTCTGGAGTGTTGGCTGGGGAAGCAACTTAACCTCTCAAAGGCTGTTTCCGTATGCTAGAGATGGGAAGACAAGCAAACCTACCCTTGACACTGTCCTGTGGATAGAATGATGTGACAGATGTACAGTACCTGGCACAGTACCTGACACTCAATAGTAGAGGGACCGCCTGTCCCAGTTTGGTCCCAGGACTGAGGGGTTTCCCAGGATGTAAGACTTTCAGTGCTAACACCAGGAAAGTCTTGGACAAACTGGCGAAGTTGGTCACCCAGGAGGGGTGGGCACTCCTGCCTCAATCCTTTGACTTGCAGTTGGTACTTAAGAAACTAAAACAGCAAGAATGTTTACAACTATTTCATAATTTGAGTTTCTCACTGAATTAGTGAGTCAATGGTCTTTCTACAGTGGTCCTGCTGTTGGTGATGACAGAACAGTTCCACCAATGGAGATAAAAACAAAAATGCAGCACACTCACTTTGAAAAAGAGTTTGTTAGTTTCCTATAAAGATAAACACACATGTACCATACAACCCAGCAATTTCACTCCTGGGTATTTACCAGAGAGAAATGAAAACATGCGTCCATTAAAAGATCTGTATGCTAATGCATGGAGCAGCTTGACTCATAATTGCCCAAACTGGAAACAACCCAAATGTCCACCTAATTGTGATATATCCATACAGTGATACACTACTCAGCAATAAAAAGGAAGGAACTATTGATACTTGCAACCACTTGGATGATTCTCAAAAGCATTGTGCTTAGTGAATGAAGCCAGATTCGAAAGGCTATGCCTGAAGGATTCTGTTACTTGACATTCTGAGGAAGACAAAATAATAGGGACAGAACACAGATCAGCAGTTGCCAAAGACCAAGGGTAAGAGGAGGGGATTGACTGTAAAGGGCCAAGGGAACTTTTCTGGGTGACAGACATGTATATCTGAATTGTGGTGGTAGTTATATGAATATACACATTTGTCAAACTCGTTGAACTATATGATTAAAAAGCATGAATTGAATTGTATAAAAATTATACCTCAATACACTTGACATAATAAAAGTCGCCTTGCCAGGTTGCAGAGGAGCCAACCACCCATTGTCTGGGTGATTTGGGGGAGCGCTGCCATCCTTCAGTATGCCTGAGGCAGCTCAGACTCTGTAAACCTGCCTGGCCCTTCCCTGCCTTGTCTAGCGTGGGGCCAATGGGTGGGTGGCAGTGATAAGCTTTCTGAAGCTCAGAGGCCAATGTGGATGAAGCCCCCACATTTCTACCTCTGGGCCCCACGCACCCTTGGGACAGGGTCTTGGCTGCTCTGGCCAAGGCTGATGAGTATTCATGGGCCAGGACGTTTTCTGAACCATGCCTCACTGAGCAATGTTAGGAAGTGCTTAGAGCTGCAACTGGCACGACCCCCATCCTCCAGAGATCCCAGTCTGACTCACTAAAGTACCTTCTTATCCATGAACTTGGACCCCCATGGTTGGGGGAATCTGTGGTCTGCTGGTTGAAGGACCCAGCAGAAGAGATGCATTGCCCTGTCCCGGCTGGCTCATAATCTCTCAGCCCCTTATGTTGCCTGCCCTAACTGTGCCTCATCCATCTTCCTGGGGTGACCGCCCCTGATTATATGGACCGCCCACAAACCCTCTGCTGAGTTCCATACTCATGGGCAGGTCACACTCAAAATGCCCCCAATGCAATGATAATCAGAGTCGCTAACCTGGGCGGGTGCTTTCAATATGTCAGGCTCTTCGCAATGGGGTCCTATGCATGATCTCATTTAATTCTCACAGGAACCTTATGAGGTAGACACTTTTAAATTTTTATATCATGAAATAAAACAGACATACAGAAAATTTACAGAATCAGAGCATAGAGCTGAATGAATGATCACAAGCAAATGCCCGTGTAACACCATTCCAGTCAAGGAATGGAACATGGTGTGCCCCCAGAACCCACTGCTGACCCCCCAAATCAATGCCCTGTGTCTTTCCTCCACAGGTAATCACTCTCCTGGCTTGAATGGTAATTGTCTCCTTGCTTCTCTTTATATTTTTATGTTTAGCCCCTAACCATGCAGCTCTAAAGCTCATTTAGTTTGTCCTGTTTTTGGAACTCTACATACTTGGACTCAATTGGGATGCATTTTAAATATTTTCCTTCTACTTTGCAGCTCACCTGTTTATTCCCTTTCTAGAATCTGTTGTCAAAAAGAAGCTCTTCATTTGAATGTAGTCAAATGTACCACCATTTCCTTTTTTCAAGAACTTATGTGTTCTATATTTGAAAATCTTTTTTTACCCCAAGGTGATAAAGAAACTTTTCTATATTATCTTTCAGTTGCTCTATTGTCTTGTATTTCACAGTTAGATGTACAATTTGCCTCCAA